TAAATGGCGGCCTGAGAGTCCACCGTATACAGGAAACCAACTTTGCTATGACACATTTTCTCAAATGGCAAAGCTTTAATCAATTCTAATGTGTAAATTTAAAGTAAATATATATACTGCATTTTCTAGTCTATATTTTTCATTATGGGGAACATATATAAGCAATAATTACTATTCTAAACGCGCCAAATTTTGTATGGTAGAGCCAACTCATAGCTATTCTACTTACAAAACACCCTCGGGAGTATCGACTTTAAATTACGATATACTCTATCATGACCTCCAAACTATTTATAACGGAGAAGACAAAAATTTTAGATATATAAATCATGATACAATTAGATACACAGAAAGGACAGATGAGCTACAGTGAACATGAATACTTTAAACATCTTTTAATACTGGGTGAGGAGGCACGGTGGAGGGAACAGCCATCCCGCCCAATCAGACAATGCGGGCAAGCAGGTTCTGCGCAGTGACGTCACTCCCGCGCATCTTAGTCAGTTGACAGTCTTTCGTCTTGTAGATATGTGCACTTCTTGTGATGTTCTCTAGAATTCATCAGAAAAATGTTTTTGTGTAATTTGGGTATATATTGTACTGAATTATAGCATTTTAATACTATATATGCACGTGTCAATGCGCTTTAAGCTATCGAAAAAAATCATCTCCAAGAGAGGATTCAGTAACTCCTCTGGTGTGAATTGTGAGGTTGTGCGGAGAAGAGCGCTACAGGATCTTTCAGTGTAATATCCAGGATTTGCGTTCATTTCGGATTTTCAGACCGCCGTTCTACATTGACAGAGGTTTGTAACATTTTAGTGTGTCGATATGTGGCGGAATCGGAGCGAAGAAGGCCCTCGTGTGTCCACAAAAGCGACGATAAGGGCGGAGGTGGGCGCAGGGAGGGTCGGCGAGGGAGCGGCTGGTGGCCATGGCGGCGGCGTCACGTGGTGGCCCGGCCCGGCGCGGCAGTGTGGCCCACGACGCCGTGAAGGGTGGTCATGCAATTTTTCGACCGGCTTTTGGCCACTTGTATGAATGAATAATATCTGTTGATGTTGCTATGGCAAGCTCTGATGCTGCTGATGACAAAATGGGTGTGTGACGAGAGGCATGACCCGTGGGAGGTGAATATCGTCGATTTATTCAATTTTGGTGATGATCACTTGGTAGGTCGAGTGCCCTTTCGGTGACTTCATTCTCAATATCGTATTTTAGAACGGATATAACGTCAGATAATATACATCGATAAATGTAGAATTCCATCAAAGTATTATTTTACTGTTAAATCACATAAAAACCATGACAACTTTAAGGGAATCGACGTAGCGCAAGGGAAGGGCTCCTTGAATGTCGCCGGTGTGGAAGTGCCGAAACCTTTGCCATTTTATTTAATCTCGTTGAACTTGAGTAAAAAAAAAAAAAGTATTAATCCACAACGTAAGTCTTACAGTGTTCAAGACAGGTTTAAGTTTTCAGGAACCGTTGTCGATTCCTTCTCTTCCGAATAGAATAAAACCGATAACCACGTTTTTAAATATTCAAGGTTGCTAATATGACCCCCATGTGTTCGTAGCCTGTGTCCTCCTATCATCTAAACGTTTTGAATAATCAGCGGTGGGCGAGAAAGGCAAAGCGAGGTCACTGCAGTCAAGCGGGCAACGAGACAGGCCAGTATGATGCAATAGATGCTTGATCTTCGCAACCAGAGAGAGAGAGAGAGAGAGAGAGACGTTGAGACACGCTGTCCGGATCTCGGTTTCGGATTGAGACACGGGGTGGAGAAAAAACGTATTCTCGGATGTGATTTACGTTCGCCGGGAAACTTTCTTTTTTTAACTTGTAAATACGGCGAAAGGGACGACGGTAAATAAGATTAGATGGTATAGAAATGTGTTTTAATGTGTAGTTTGTTTTCATGCTGTTTTGCGACCGAGTGGCGACAAACGGGGGAGATATTGCTGGTGTGATCCACGCGTTTTGCAATTTGATGGTACAAATATTGATTAGTTTAAAGCTGACCCCGTGAGACGCTTGAAAATATCACATGGGATGAGTAATACAAAAGGGGTTTAAAGCTTCGTGTACAGTTCGTTTTCCTTGGAAAGTGCACTCAAGTGATGTATTTGGTGGGTTGGCATTTTGCTTGCGTGGAATATAAGGGCTAGTGTTCATTGGATTGTGTGAAAAAAAAACAAATATCAAGTGTTAGGTGTGTAATCTTTGATATACTAGTAATTTCTGCAACACTAAGAAAACATGCTATGTAGGTGTTGTGTGTGTGACATAACAGGAAGGTATAACGTATTGCTTGAGGATTTATTTGTTAGGAACTCCTGATTTTTTATAAGCTTGCTATTATTATTAAGGATATGTTCTCAGATTATTCTCTCTCTCTCTCTCTCTCTCTCTCTCTCTCTCTCTCTCTCTCTCTCTCTCTCTCTCTCTCTCTCTCTCTCCTCTCTCTCTCTCTCTCTCTCTCTCCCACTCTCTCTCT